ATTCAGGAACATACATACTTGACTGGACCCCGGGGTGGAAGGGTTTCTTTTGATTTGAGGTTGGGAAGCTTCATAATGGAGTTTGTTCCTCTAGAACCTTCTTTCATAAAGAGTCGAAAATAAGCTCAGCATGACAGGGCCACCATATCGCACAATTCCAGGGAGCACCATTTACTAGAATGCTAATCAATAGCCTATCCTTCATCACAAATGCTACCTCCAGGGTAGGTAGAATGACCTGACTCCAAGTCTTTGAGTTGACTGATCAAAGCTGGTCTTCTGCAAGATATTCTTCCCACATAACTACAGAAGATCACAGTTTGAGATTCAGGTAAATACTACTCGGTGGAGTTAAGGGAAAGCCTGACTAACCATGTCAATTTATGTAATCATTACTCTCTCCTATACACCCAAGTGATTTATGGAGAGAGTCGGTATATTTCAAGGATTCGGTAAGGAAAAATGGATTAAGTGGAATTTCAGAAGTGTTGACTCTGTGGATGAGGCCTGACTACTTGCTGCAGGAGGAACTTTGACATACAAAATATGAAAGGAAACATAAGTGCCTGGTAGAGGGAAAAAAGAGTGTTTGGAGGTAGGTCAAGGGAAAATGAGAAGTTGAAAGTTGTTAAAGAGAAATGGCTGTAAAATGAATCCAAATACAACTTGCAGAATTTGGCCTATAACCAGCTGTATCCACTTTGTATGAGTGTTTCCTACCAGAATGGAAGAGCATAAATCATCTTTGAACCCACAAGCCTAGCAATTACAAGTTTCACAGCCACCAGCACAGCTGTCGCTTCAGTCCACCAGGTTTCCTTCCTCCTGTGTCCTCCCCTCTTCCTCTTGCATCTCCCTCAGTTGTGCAGGAGGGCACTGCTTCTCTCTCTGTTGCACTCAAATCATCCATACAAGACATTTCGTTTTATACCAAGGAAAGCCCTTTTCCCACATTCTCTTCTTCAGAGGGTCTAGAACACCAACCCCTTACAGCACTAGCTAGATTAAAAGGGGTGGAGTTTTCAGTCAATACTTCAGCCCAATGAAAGGCTAGCAAGATGATCAGATTGACACACACCAAGGATAAATGCTATTTTTAAAAATATAATCCATCATTAGTCTGTTCCTTAAACTTCCTTGGTACTATATTTTTCTTCATAACAGACTTTAATATCTACCTTATAATCTCAGGTTATTTGAATACCTTTGCATCGATGAGCCACTTGCCTGAAATGCCCAACCTGTTCTAACTTAACTCCAGACTGGATGATCTCTTTTGCTGCCTATCTCTCTCTCCACTTCCCAGTTCCACCTGAGTCTGATGCCATTGCTCTTCTCTGAACCTAGACACAGCTCTATTCTCATTTAATTATGACTTGTTTCTCTACACCCTAACAACTGTAAGACACTTGGTTAAAAAAAAAGTGTATTCATCCTCTAATATAGTGCCTCCCACTTAAGAGAATCTCAACAAATATTGAATGGATAATTTATACTCTGCTGATATGAATCTTTAAGAAAAGGTTTTGTATTGTTTTATGTATTTTTTCTCAGTGCAATGTTGTGTTCTGCAAAGTTAGAAACCATGAAATATTTGCAAATATGAGAATAACTATACAATAATACCAAGTTACTGCCATTGTAGAACAAATTACGAGGGAAGCTCAATAAAGAGAACAAGTGGAGGGCAGTGGAGTATCAACAAAATGTGAAATGGGGTCAGATGGGAAAGGAAGTGACAGAGGAGAAAAATGATGCTAACCCTGTAATAGGGGAAGAGATCAGTCAAACAGAAAAATCTAAAGAAGGGAGATTTTGAAAATGTTTTCAGAAGCTTGTCCCTGAGAAATCAGGAGGGAAAGCCAGATAAGAGGCTTTTTAAGTAACGCGCAGCCCTTTGATGGCAGCACATCACTAGGCAAAGTGTGGATGGGTTGTGCAATCAAGACGAGAATGCAAATGTTCATTTGACAGTGCAGTTTGCACAGACTTTGAGGAAGCAACATGTCCTATAAATGGCACATGGCAGGGCTATGTAAATACAGTGGCTTCATGCTCTTGGTCAGAAGAAAGTTGACTTCAGCCTCAGCGATTTGCCTCAGCAACCAGCATTACAAACACAGCATCTAGCATCGTTAGAGTTTGAATCTAATGAGTAATATGGAAGATCAAGCACTGAATGCAATTACAGGAGAACCCATAATTTTCTAGAAAAAAATTACATGTTTAATTATAAATTTCTCCCCACCCAAATCCTGGGGCATGGATTCATACTGAACCATTTATTACATTGTTGCTTGTCTGCCTAAAACTATTGAGCTCTGTAGATCTTCACTAATACTTCCTGAGCTCCTGACTTCATGCACATCAGTGTCAGAACAACACAGGTCACACTGGTGCTCTTGGCTGCCCCTGCCCCCACTATCATTTTTTCCCCAATGGTAAAACAGAGGTCATGGAATTGTACAAGATCACAAAGGTGCGCATTAGCAACAGTGCTGCCACTGAAGTCATGATGGGCACTTTTATATAACCAAATTACCATGAATCCCGGGCCTCCATTCAAAGGGTAACTTCTAGATTCTCACTCCTTCATTCATCTTCGTTTCAATTCACAAAATTATACCCTGAAAAAAAACTCATGATTTTAATAGTAGCATTTTCATAAATGTCAAAAATTCATGGATCTGCTTTGTTATTTTGAAATAAATTTCACTTGGCTAAGAAAAATTAAGAGATTTGATAATAATTCACACACAGAATAAAACCAAAATTATTATGCACTAAGCTATATGGAGAAATAACTTAAACAGGTCCATGTAGTTGAGTTTACTTTTTAAAAAAATTATATATATATATATATATATATATATATATATATATACAATTATATCTTATTCTACTTGGATACAGAGGCAAGAACCATATGCCTATATTAGTGGAGAGATTTGATGTATCTTAAACTCTTCTTAGCAAAGCAGCTGTCATTTTATTTCTATGAATAGTGAAGACAGTCTTCTTTTATTCAAATTATTGCTTCAAATCTTATTGAAAGCACTCTTTTACTCTCAATTAAATACATTTTTATAATACATCACTCACAAAAACATTAAAATGAAAATATGAGTGAAATAAATCTGTGAAGGAATTCTTAAAACAGTATTTTTGTAAACAACTTTGCGAGGTACAACTGAAGTGCAAGTATTTCAAATGTGCAATTTTATTATTTTAAAAATAGGTAGACTACTACTGTTAAACCATCATCACAATCAGGATGACAAAACATCAATAGCCCCCAAAATGTCCTTCTACCCAGTAAAATTCACTTCTTCCTGCAACCCATCAGCTCTCTGCCACTATGTTACTTTATGTTTTGTAGAATATTATATAAGCGAAATCATAAGTGGCCAATATGTACTTTTTTATTTGGCCTGGCTTCTTTAATTCTGTACATAAAATCTGTGATTTATCCATGTGGCCATATGCATCATTATGTCATTACTTTTTATTATTGAGCAATATTTCATTGTGTAGATCAACTAGAATGTGCCCATCTATTCACCTGTTGATAGACATCTGGGTCTTTGTGGGAAAGGAAAATGCATACTCCTTCATTTGTTTCTGTCCAGCGTCCTTGGAAAAGTCATTAGTCACTTTGATCCTCATTTTTTCCCTCTACAAACATGTTTGATGTCTATCTCATAAGTTTTGCAAAGATTAAACCACTGAAAACAGAGCCTGACACATAATACATATTCAGTAAATATTAACTTATTCTTAAGTTATAACTTAATTGACTTACTGATACCAGTTTTAAGGTAACACTTTTCCTCCTATGAAAATACTTTCATTCTTTTCTAATTATTTTCCCGTCCACTTGCCTTGAACATTATCATAATTCAAGCCCCATCGTCTCTTCAACAGACATAGGGTTACCAATAAAGTTGTCATCCTAAAATATACTCCTTTTGGACTCCACTGGCTTCTATAACTGGTGAATTATTTTAAATGTTTACACACATGCCCAGGCTAGTTGTGGAATGTCTGCAGGGGTGAAACATGGAGACAAACATCAGACTGCAAGGGGATCTCTTCCCAGAAGCTTAGAAGCTGTGTTTGCAGTTGTTTTTTCTAAATGAGATGATATACCCTTTGTGGTGCTTATGGGGAGGAACAGTTGAAAAGAATTATGGATTTGGGGAAGCAACTAAAGCCCTCCCAATCCATTTACTGATGCTGCCACAGTTTAGTCATCTCTGTTTTTTTTACAAATTATTATTTCTCCACTGCCACTCCTTTAAATATGCCCACAAATAAATAAGTAAATAAATAATAAATAAATGGTGTTGATTTTCTTTTCCTTCGTATTCTTTGCACATATTATGTCCAACTAAGCTCCTTAATCTATTCAATTGGCAGGTGGTGATGGATGAAAGAATTTTAATTCCCCAGGTGAAATTATGAGGGGAGCACTGGGGCTGAGCATGATGCTAATAAAAGCAAGGCAACATATCTGATAGGGGGACTGGTTTGGTTTTCTTTAATGCCATTCTGCTCAATGAAATTTGACTTGACATAGGTATCTGTTCACCAAAACAGAGTCTTGGTGGTCATGTGTGGAGGTAGAACAGGATGGAGTAACTAACAGATGAAAATATGTGTAAAAAATTGTGTATCCTGAAGAAGACTTGTTGGTAGTATCAGCTCTATATAAGGAAGATTCTATTATATTGCTGTTAGTTCCTCAATAAAATAGGAACTTCACAGAGTATGAGTATGCTGCCTATGAACTCTGAAGTACTCTGGTATCTACAGTACTGACTACATAATTTAATTGATTAAAAAATTACAGAGGAGTGATCTTTTTCTTCACTACCCAGAAAAATGGAGACTATTCACTTCATTCATTACCTTGTTGATTAATAGGGGTAAGCATTCCACCAAGAGCTTTTCATGAAAAAGTACATTTAGAATAATATGATATGTTTATATTTTATCAGGAAAACACCATAATATGCAGAAATCTACGAATTCAGATACCTCTGTGGAAACACTGAATCCTACCCACCAAAGCACTGGACCTGTGCAGATGAGAATCAAAAATGCCAACAGCCACCACGACAGGCTGAGCCAAAGTAAATCCATGATCCTCACCGATGTTGGGAAGGTCACTGAACCCGTAAGTCAATATTCCTAATACCCCAAGTGCCTTCATACAGAATTTCTTAAAAAGCCACACACACAAATTAGCCTTGTTTTATTTGTTTTCCTAATGTGTATTAGAAAACTGTTTTTTGTAATGTATTTATCTTGCCTACTTACAGTCATAATGATATTCCCAGTTGTGAGAGAAGAGATGGGCTTAATCCAGAGTGATAAAGTGGATTTGGAGCTATACTGAAGAGCACCTTTGACTCATTTTAAGGGCCTCCACTATCATGCTTCAGTGTCATAAAAATAATGAGGTTATGCTAGCATGTGGTGTTTGCACTTCCAAATATAGTATATCACTTTGAAAAGCCAGAGGCTAAAATTAGCTAAGAATGAACTGAGAAAAATAAAGTCTTTAAAAAATATGAAAAATTGTTTCTTAAAATCTTCCAGCAATGTACGGTATTGTAAATTAGCATTTGATTTGGAATGAGCCTAAATGATTGAAATGGTGGGGTGATTTAAGGTTTGGAGAGGAAGCCATTTTGTCTTGATAATGTATCATTAGGAAGATTTGAAATAAAATAGTTAGAGATGAACTCTACTGCCAATTGTGTCCCTGCCCCTGCACGCATCCTGAGCCACTAAACACACTGATTGCGATGAGTCTCCTCTGGTTAATTTTCTTCCATAATGGTGGTAACTTGCAGCTGAGGCCATAGGATGTTGCAAAATTATTTATGCAATGTTAGCCACTCTTTTGGACCCCAGATCTATTTTGTTTCTCACAGTGAGAGCAAAAGCGAGAAATAGGTTAGCTAGGGACAGGCTGTGATTCCCATCCATCCTGCAGAAACATGTGAGCTATTAATTGTGTGTTCTGTTAATATCGTGGAGGCCGATGAAACATGCAGCTCCCTCACTGAGTTATTAAATGAAATAAACTTGCTGAGTAGCATGTTACCAATTACATTTATTCCCTGTTTTTCATTCAAATTTCAAGTGCAAAATTAACCCACAGTCATCTCAGGCACCTGAGAAATGTATGATTTTAAACATCCCTTCTTCAGTATTATAGGCAAATTTAGCATGAGGAAGCCAGTGATTATATTTTGGGAGTGAGAAATACATTCTTAGATAAGGTACTCAGAGATGCACTTTTCCTTATTTATTTTCTCCTTTAAAAGTATCGTCTGCTGGGAGGCGCGACACTGCCAGCTCTGTCTCTGCTTTTGAAGCAGCTACAGTGTTCCTCAACTATGAACTTGAGGCAGTGGTTAGAGTAAATTATTGGAATCTCTATAATGTATTATCAGTAAGAACTGTACCTTTGAAAAAGTTTAAAAGTTAAGTATATTTAATGATGCCTAACATATTTTATTGGCTGTGTTTAACAAAAGGCACTATGCCGCAGTTGTTTTTGACAAGCATGAAAACATCACAGCGTGAGACTGCAAAAGGAATTATGGAGAGAAATTACAAGTGATCCATCTCTCAATGAATTATCCACCTCAATAGCCCGCAGAACTCAGCTACCAATTAACACCTACTTTATTACATGTTGGGATGTACTTAATAACTTTCATGTGTTTATGCACTATTACCTTGACTGATGCCTCTTGTACAATTAGGCATAATTGGCATATCAATATGCAAAAGTTAAAAGGATTAACCCTCTTAAAACTAATGAGCATTTCTGTATCCAGCTGCTAAATGAGAGAAAATTAGCATTTTTCACTTTTGGGCAGGATTTTATCATGCAGTTTCTCATTGTTGATATTACCTTGTTACATAACTTTAGTTTCGGGGGTTATATGCTGGACTACTAGAGAATAAGAGTTTTCCAAAGTTAAATTAGCTATAATTATCACAGCTTTGTTTCCTCATTCTTAGCTTGGACAATATGTATTCCTCGATAAGGAACAAAAATGAAAGTTACTTTGGTTATGTGTGCTTAGTGCCTAATTATATAAAAAGGGTATTTCAGGGAGGATATGTCATTTTGCCGAGAAAACTTGGCTCAGAGATGCTGTATTGAGAGCCCGCCATGGTGCTAATTTTCTTTCTGTCTCAGTTCTTTTCATCTCTTTTTTTCAATGCACAATTTTCTGACTAGATACTGACAGAATGTAAAGTATTTTGGTGTATTTATTCAAACAAGCCTGTTAAAGATATCTGCTTAAGCTAAACTAAGAGCTTGATTTTTCAGAACTTGAAGATTGGGGTGAGGTCAAGGAGGAAAATTATGAACTTAGGAGAAATGGGAGAAGATGTATACTAACAACGTGTGCACATGTTCACATGTAGCAGGGTTTGTTGTAACAGAGACTCATGCATTTCATCTGTAATTTAAAAAGTAAGAGTACTTAGAGACTACATATATGTTATGCACTTTATTTAATGTGCATTATGTATACACGCACACTGGCCTGCTAATCATACAAATTTAATATGGACTTATTGGAGTACACAATAACATAAGAATATGATATTTTATTCAGAACAATTTAACTTATTTAAAAAGGTTCCAGGGTCAAATCAATTATATAATTTGACACTAGTTCATAAACTCCTCTTTTTATTATTTTTAATTATATATTTAATATAGCTATGAACTCAGAAAATAATACAAAATTCTCCAAATATGTGATAAAAGCCTATTTGTTAGTTTTTAAATTTAGGAGTAATAGTTAGAAATGTCAATATAAACATATATTAACCCTGATCCCTGCAAACATAGGTGACTTTACTTGTTAAATTAAGAGTTTTGATTACCTAAGTGTTGCAGGGAAGCATTTCAATAAAGTAAGCATTGATACCCCATTGCTATTTTATCAGAGGTATGCATCATTTTCTTTACTCACCAAATTATTATTTTTATGTGGTTAATAAGATCAATGTCTTTACAAAATTCAAAGAGGCCATTCTACCACCTGGGAAATATTGGAGAGGTAGGAAATTTGGACAAGGGAGGACACAGCTAGCTAGAAAATGTCTTACCTGTGAGAGACATCGGGAGACCTCTGATTGGTGGGAAGGAGTGCTCTTTGATCTTAGTGATATGTTGGCTCATCCTCAGCACCAGAGTGAGCCCACTTGAAGGTGGGCTGCAATTTACCTGAATGTGCCAACCACAGAAGCAGACAGGAGTGTAAAGTAAATGGGAAAAAGAGAAGTGTGTCCCTTTACAGGCAGCAAATAGCTATTGCAAAGAGTTTCATGTGGTTTTGATGTTATTTATAAGAGGGATGCTCCAGCCTAGTAGTTATTTTAGAATGACTATTAATGAAGAGTTTAAGTAGTCAAAGTCAGGAGACTGCAGACAGAGGATTTGCAAAGAGGAGCAGTTTCGGCATTTAATGCTGGTGGCTTAAACAGCAACACGTATGAATATTCACCATTTCCATCTTGTAAACCTCACAGAAGTTCATTAATTCATTCATGGCCATTTTGGACAGGGAAGTATCTTTCTATCAGTGTTCAGATAAAGACTTAGCTTGAACCACTCCTAAACATTAACACTTAAGTTTCCTTTTGCTTCCATTAACGGTCTGGGTTCGTTCATGTTTCTTTTTAATATATTATAAGGAAAAAGAGGAAACAACTTTCTTTTGTTTCTTCTGGTATTATAGGATACTTGCCAAAGTTGTGGCTAGCCAAAAAGGCAGACATAAAAATTGCTACTAAAAATATACGCCTTCTGTTTAGCAGAGTTTTTGAGAAATATTATGAGACTGTAAGACTTGTTCATGTTTACTTCAAATCAAGCTTATAGTTAGGTTTGAGGCTTTGTTTGTGTAAATTGTCCTGAAGTGGATTCTGATATTTAATTAAAATGACACTAAATCACTTTGAATTGATAAGACTTGGCATCTCAAACAAAGGTAATTGCCCGTATTGGTTTTGTGCAAAAATAGCACTGCTTGGAAAATGTGCAGCCAACACAGACTGTCAACTCCATTTATAGATCAATATGTGAAAACCATTGATCAGGCAGGCATGTATAACAGTAACACTTTGCATTTATTTGTTGTTTTTATACCACATTAAGGCTTACAGGATTATAGGCTTCCTAAATATTTTGACTTTCTCATAAATATATGATCTGTTGCATGTTAATTAAATGAGAATCTGCAGCTATTTCTAAAATTGTTTTTAGTTTGATGATTTTCTTTTATTACTGTGGATTGTATGATCTGAAAATGGATTAGTTTCCTTCTGCATAAAGATTATTAAAGCTTATTTTAATGTGTCCTACTTAGTGTGAGATGTGGTTGTCTTTTTGCTTTGAAATATATAGATACAGACAATTATTTTCTCTTAGCAAGTGGCTGATCTTTTTTTTTATTATTAACTGGGCATTCTCAGTGCTCAGGGTAGAATTATTTCCTGATATATTCTGCTCACCCTGTAGATAACGGGTCTTCTTGATTTCTACTGATAGAATTTGTTTCCTTTCTGTCTTTTTATCTAGCTCTGTAGTACAAGCATCTGATCAAACATTATGTAGAAAATAAACTGATCATTTCAATTAAATTCTAGACACACACGAATATAATCTGAATTCTATTTCTCTGATTCAAGAGCAAGCCTTATGAGCTGTTGTTATACACTGCATTCTGCAGTTAAATCTTTCTTATCTCATCAACGTAAGGACAGTGTTTTGTTCCTAATCTTTATTGGACTATTGTGGATGACATTTGTAAGCCATTGTGGTTTATAAGGAAAAGCTGGATGACAGTGAAGTGAGACTCTCCACAGATCCAAGCCTCAGATATGACTACACAATACTGTGTCCTCCACAGCAATTTTTTTTGCCACTGAGAGGTCAATTTTGTTGAGAAATCTTTTTATATCCTCCATATACATCAGGAGTGCTGCTTTCAACAAAATACTTGCCTTTTTATATGGTATTAAAACAATGGTAAAAGCAACAAGATTTCAGAAAAAGCAAAAAAAAAAAAAAGATTATGAAAGTCAAGGGTTACCTAAGGTAAGTAGTCTGCTGTAGAGCAGATGAAAAAGTTT